CCTCCAAGTAGAAAGAAACTTCTTTAACTTGGTAGAGGGTAGTGACCAGAAACCTTCTGCATCATATTTAGTGGTAAAAACATTTCAAATATTCCCACTAAACTCAGGAACAAAGTAAGAATACCCAGTGTTACTCCTTGTATTCACCATTGTTTTGGATTTCTAGCCAGTGCTTTAAGATCAGTGAATAAAAAGCATAAATTCTGGGTGTAGAGACAAAAATGTCATTTTTGAAGACTGAGTGATTATTTATATTCCTAGAAAATTCAGAAGAATCAACTAAAGTATATTGAAACTAAAGAGAGAGTACCATAAGGTTCTTGAAGCAGATTCCTCATACAGAAGTCAGTAGCACTGTCTGTGTTGGCTATAATCAATCAGAAAATACAGTGAGAAAAGCTATCCCCTTTACAATGACTCCTCAACTTTCAAATATCTAGCAATAAACATGAGGACATGTGCAGAATCTGTATGAAGGTTACATTTAAAAAAGACCTGAGTTCTCTAAGTCCTACTTCCTAAATAGGGAGATTTAATACTGGAATGATATTCCCTAATTAATCTGTAAAATAAATGCAGCCACAATCAACATTTTAACAGGCTTCTTTTTGGAACTTGACAACCTGATGCTAAAATTCTGTTGGAGGAGAAATTGTGGGAAATATCTAAGAACCAAATTGAAGGATAGCAAGGAGGGAACGATAAGCTTGTATCAAATATAAAAGATATAAAAAGCTAGTAATTAGTGTTGTATTAATTAGGAATAGGCAAATAGATCAGTGGGTCAGAATGAAGCCCAGAAAATTGTACATGCATATATATAAAGGTGGCATTTGAAAATACTGGGAGAAGGTTACTCTATTCAGTAAGGCTACTTGGGTAATTAGCCCTGCATTTGAAAGAGATGAAATTAGATACATCACCAAATAAATTCCATATGAGATAAAAAGCAAAATGCAAAAAACAAAAAAACAAAAAACCACCATAGAAGTATTAGAACACACTATGAAAACATATTTTAATAATGTAAATAGAGATGGCTTTGAAAGCAAGATGAAATTCACCAAGCCCATAAAGGAAACAGTAGATGGCTGTTACTAAATATTAAACATTTATTTGTGACAGACCTTGTAATCAAAGTTAAAAGCCATGACAAATAGAAAAAAGTAGTTAACATATCCAGAATATATAAACTATGGAGCAATAAGAAGAAGATAAACAACAAATAGGAACCTAGAAAAAGATAATAAATAGACAAGCATAATAAATAGAATATGCAATAAATAGAAGTGGAAATTGCCACGATAATGAAAAGATACCCAGCTTCACAGTTAATCAGAAAAACGCAAACAAAAAGGAAGATTGGGGTTTTTTTTCCTCATAATATTGGCAAAAATGAAGAAAATTAATAAATAGTCTTATTAAGGATTGGGGAAATGGTACTCCTGTACACTCTTGGGGATTTTTCTGTCTTTTGGGAAGAACAATTTGGCAGTATCTAAGTTGAGAAACAAAAGCAAAAAATTACCTTTTAATCTTATAGTTTTGGCACTAGGACTTAGACTTACTTGTACAAAGATGTATTTATTCCTCCATTTATTTTCCTTTAAAAATAAACTTTTATTGAGACATGATTCATAACCATGCAATTCACCCGTTTAAAGTATACACTTCCAGGGTTGCTATTCAGAGAATTGGACCAACATCACCACAGTAAGTGTTGGTACATCTTCTTCATCCCAAAAAGAAACTCTGTACCCATTAACAGTCACTCCAACCTCCGTATCCCCCCCGGTAAGCACTAAAGTACTTGTCTCTATGGATTTGTCTACTCTGGACATTTCATGTGAATAGAATCATGGTCTTTTCTTATAGCCTCCTTTTACTTAGCATAAAGTTTTCAGGCTTCACCCATATTGTGGAATGTATTAGCGCCTCATTCCTTTTTATTAAAATTGGGGTATAATATACATAACATACTTTTTACCACTACCCATTTTCAGAACTTCTAAAAAATCATTCAAAACAATGCTGTATTTCATTAAACACTAACTCTTCATTTTCCCCTGCCCCCAGCCCGTGGTAACCATTATTCTATATTCTGTCTCTTTGAATTTACCTATTTTAGGGATATCATACAAATGAAATAATTCAACATTTCTGCTTTTTTGTCTGCCTTTTCTCACTTAGCATAATGGTTTCAAGGTTCACTCACGTTGTAGCATGTATCAGAATTCAGTTCCTTTTTAAGGCTGAATAATATTCCATTCTTTGTACATGCCACACTTTTCTTTTTCATTCTTTTAAACAGTAATCTTGTTTATTTCTTTGATTCAGTCCTGTCCGTTATTCATATTAGATCTGTCATAAGTTGTCCACGGTTTACTTTGAATTTAATGAGACTAAAAATACATATGTACACCAAGGTGTTCATTACAGCATTATAACAATAATGGTTTGATAAGTTACTATCCTCATAAATGAGGAAGGTTGGATCAAGATGACAGATGAGTACACGTTCTCCTTCTACTCCAGATCCCAACAAATGATAGAAAACGTGTATTTAAGAGAATAAATCTTTAACAGCCCGGGAAGTGAAAATGTTCCCAGTGAACTGGAATTTCTGAGGAATTGTTGAACTACAGTGAGAAAAGAAACTCACTTTTAAAAATACCTCCTTTATGAAAAAAAGGTATATACGTGTTATATGATTAACATAGAATTCATCTGGAAGGTTGGGAATGCAAGCTGGTGCAGCCACTCTGGAAAACAGTATGGAGGCTTCTCAAAAAACTAAAAATAGAACTACCCTACGACCCAGCAATCGCACTACTAGGCATTTATCCATGGGATACAGGTGTGCTGTTGTGAAGGGACACATGTAACCCCATGTTTATAGCAGCACTATCAACAGTAGCCAAAGTATGGAAAGAGCCCACATGTCCATCGATGGATGAATGGATAAAGAAGATGTGGTATATATATACCATGGAGTATTACTCGGCAATCAAAAAGAATGAAATCTTGCCATTTGCAACTACATGGATGGAACTGGAGGGTATTATGCTAAGTGAAATTAGTCAGAGAAAGACAAAAATCATATGACTTCACTCATATGAGGACTTTGAGAGACAAAACAGATGAACATGAGGGAAGGGAAACAAAAATCATATAAAAACAGGGAGGGGGACAAAACAGAAGAGACTCATAAATATGGAGAACAAACTGAGGGTTACTGGAGGGGTTGTGGGAGGGGGGATGGGCTAAATGGGTAAGGGGCACTAAGGAATCTACTCCTGAAATCATTGTTGCACTATATGCTAACTAATTTGGATGTAACTTTTAAAAAATAATAAAATTAAAAAAAAAAAACAGGGAAAAAATAAAAAGAAAAAAAAGAATTCATCTGGAAGGATATAGACAAAATCATTGACAGTGGTTGCTTCTGAGGAGGAGATTAAATTAGGATATGAGAGAGGGATAAAAGAAGATTCACTTTTTTCTTTTCTTTTCTTTTTTTAACAGAAGGAAGAAAATTAGAAGGCAGAAATAAGAAGGGCCAAAGTTTTACTTACTTTTAACCTGACTAGTTTCTTGCACCTCCTAAGTTCCCTTCAGCAGCCCCTGGGAAACCGGGTGAAGGAGAGGGGATACTCCACAAGCATCCTGCTCTGAAGGGTTGTATCTTTGGCAAGCTGCCTTTCTCTGTCTCTCTCTCTCTGTCTCTCTCTCTCTCTCTGTCTCTCTCTCTCTCTCTTTATTTATTTATTTATTTTAACATTTATTTATCCTTGAGAGACCAAGAGAGACAGAGTGTGAGCTAGGGAAGGGCAGAGAGGGCGAGGAAGACACAGAATCTGAAGCAAGTTCCAGGCTCCGAGCTGTCCGTGCAGAGCCCGACGTGGGGATTGAACTCATGAATGGTGACATCATGACCTGAGCCAAGGTCGGATGCTTAACTGACACCCAGGTGCCCTAAGCTGCCTTTCTCTTCCTAGGTATTTCCAACTCCTTCACCCACTTCTTTCGGCTTCAATTCTGGTCAGCTCCCAAATCTGTTTTCTCATGCGGACCTGTGGCCTGCCGTTTCCAAGTGTCTGCTGTTTCCACTAATTTAAGCATCGCCCTTCTTTGACAGTTTTAGTGGATTATGTTCAATAGCTGTAGAAAATAAAACATAGGAAAATAAAAGGTGAAGATGGAAATTATATTTTTCTTGATTGAATGTGCTTGAAAATAACCCCCAAAGGAAAGAAAGATGCTTTTTGGCTCTAAAATAATGAAGTTTGAATGGCATGTATATTCCATTTACAGAAAAGACTGTGAGTATCTCTTGGAATTTAGGAATTTAAATCTTACTTTGTTCTCTGGAATGTGTGTTTCATTAAAACAAGTGCTTTAAGAGAATCTCCAGTTTTTTTCTCATTAGTAAACACTTTACAGCAGGATGAGTGACTGGGAAACTGGGCCTTAAGAATCCTGTCTATTGTTCCTAGAATGAAAAAGAAACTGGGAGGAAAATCACAGTAGAATAGTTATTTGTAGGCAGAACTTTTAAAAATGGCATGACCTTCGGGGCACCTGGCTGGCTCAGTTGGTTAAGCATCGGACTTTGGCTCAGGTCATGATCTCATGGTTCATGGGTTTGAGCCCTGCTTCGGGCTCTGTGCTGACAGTTCAGAGCCTGGAGCTGCTTCAGATTCTGTGTCTCCCTCTCTCTGCCCCTTCCTCGCTCTCTTTCTCTCTCTCAAAAATAAATAAACATTTAAAAACCTTAAAAAAAATAGCATGACCATTAGATCTATTCACTACCCTAAGTACTGAGGACAAGAAACTACTAGTTCCTGTCCCTGAGGTGCTTATCGTTGACCATTCAGTCTGTTTGTATAGTCAGTCATGGTATTATTTGTCACCTTTATTTTATCCTCTCATACATGGCATCTTCTCTGTGCTCAGATATGAATTATGTGCTACTTCTGCTTTTTTTCCTTCTCTTTCAGGCAAAAATAGACCTCTTATTAGTTGGAGATGTCACTGTTCAGTACCTGGCTGATATTGCACAGAAATCCTTTTCACATATTGCAAAAGTCTCCATAACCATCAGAGATGTGGAGGGGGCAGCAGCACTTCTGGAGAATTGCCCATTTGACATGGTTTTCTTGAAGACGACTTCTTTACCAACTGCTGATGAGCTGGAAGCTGCCAAATTAATTAGGTGAACTTCAAAAACGTTTATATTTTTTAAATTAAAAAAAAAATTTTTTTTTTGAGAGGGAGAGAGAAAGAGAGTGTGTGCACAAGTGGGGAACGGGAAGACAGAAGGAGAGAGAAAATCCCAAGCAGGTTCTGCACCATCAGGTTCTGCACCATCAGCACAGAGCCGGATATGGGGCTTGAACTCATGAACTGTGAGATCATGACCTGAGCCAAGATCAGGAGTCAGATGCTTAACCAACTGTGCCACCCAAGTGCCCTTAGAAACCCATTTCTATAAAAAAAAAAAAAACAAACAAACCTTTAAAGATGGTACTGTTTATGCTTTAATTTTTAAGATGAGAGATACTTTCATGGGAAGAATAGGTATACATAATATTGTTTTTATTGCCAGTTTGGCATACTATTATAAGAATTATCGTTTTAATTTAAAAAGTAATTGATGTGGGGGAGCGTAGGTGGCTCAGTCAGTTAAGTGTCCACCTTTGACTCCTGTCTTTTGAGCCCCATGTCAGGCTCTGTGCTGACAGCTCAGAGCCTGGAGCCTGCTTCCGATTCTGTGTCTCCTCTCCCTGCTCCTCCCTGACTTGCACTCTGTCCCTCTTTCTCTCAAAAATAAATAAACATTAAAAAAAGGTAAAACAACAGCAAAAAAAGTGATGTGGGTGAATGTGAGAATTAACTGGTCATAGAAATTTATTTGGTACATAGTACTTACCTTAATCCCATAGGTACTCCTTTTGAATAACTATGTCATTTAATTAATTTTTTTTTTTAACGTTTTTTTATTTATTTATGGGACAGACAGAGACAGAGCATGAACGGGGGAGGGGCAGAGAGAGAGGGAGACACAGAATCGGAAACAGGCTCCAGGCTCCGAGCCATCAGCCCAGAGCCTGACACGGGGCTCGAACTCACGGACCGTGAGATCGTGACCTGGCTGAAGTCGGACGCTTAACCGACTGCGCCACCCAGGCGCCCCGAATAACTATGTCATTTAAAATGACACATCCGGGGTGCCTGGGTGGCTCAGTCAGTTGAGCATCCAACTTCGGCTCAGGTCATGATCTCACAGTTTGTGGGTTTGAGCCCTGCATCAGGCTCTGTGCTGACCGCTTGCTCAGAGCCTAGAGGCTGCTTCAGATTCTGTGTCTCCTTCTCTCTCTGCCCCTCCCCCACTCACGCTTTGTCTCACTCTGTTTCTCAAAAATAAATAAATGTAAAAAAAAAAATTAAAAAAAAATGACACATCTTTTCGGAGTTCATTAATTTTTATGGCAGATACTAAGGTGAGTACTCTTAGCTCTGTGTTATATTAGCGATGGACTCAAAGTGTCTCCTTCAAGAGATGTCCTAATGTGGAAAAGCCTCAAAACTCTTTGGATCCGTAGAGTCCAGATCAATATCACCTCCAATATTTTTGTTTCATCTTGTAGCTCCATAGATGTTCTGGTTCTGTTTGACCCACTCTACTTTAGAGATCTGGAGTCTGGTGGTGGGAGAGTTAGGTGCTTCCTTGCCTGACTACATAGGATTTTGAGCCATTCTGGATGTTTTTAAACAAGGTTAGGTCAAAATTTCTTTCCCCTTCTACAAGAAGATTTGATAGAGAAAATGTAATTGCAGATAATATTGGAATATACAAGGACTTGTAATAATTGCTGGACAGGCCTTTCAAGACTAAAGGAGAATGTTCAGAGTCAATATTATCCCTGAATAAAAAGGAGCAAATGTATTGTGTTAGGGGACAAGAAAAGTTGGAATGGGAAGAGGTCAAAGTAATGAGTTCCTTGTTAAAGAGAGAGGTGGAGGGGCGCCTGGGTGGCGCAGTCGGTTAAGCGTCCGACTTCAGCCAGGTCACGATCTCGCGGTCCGTGAGTTCGAGCCCCGCGTCGGGCTCTGGGCTGATGGCTCAGAGCCTGGAGCCTGTTTCCGATTCTGTGTCTCCCTCTCTCTCTGCCCCTCCCCCGTTCATGCTCTGTCTCTCTCTGTCCCAAAAAAAATAAATAAACGTTGAAAAAAAAAATAAAAAAAATAAAGAGAGAGGTGGAGAGACGGATACAGCTCTTGGGGTTTCTTAGATTATCTACTGCATTTGTTTTGGCTTTCTCCTGGGAGTATGAACTCTAGACAAACCAGGCAGCCTACCTCAAAGTGGATTTCATTTCCAAGACATGTTGTGAACTGTCCTTCTTCTGAAGATAAGCCTATTTTATTATATACCTTTAAAAAATGACTCCTGGGGCGCCTGGGTGGCGCAGTCGGTTAAGCGTCCGACTTCAGCCAGGTCATGATCTCGCGGTCCGTGAGTTCGAGCCCCGCGTCAGGCTCTGGGCTGATGGCTCAGAGCCTGGAGCCTGTTTCCGATTCTGTGTCTCCCTCTCTCTCTGCCCCTCCCCCGTTCATGCTCTGTCTCTGTCTGTCCCAAAAATAAATAAACATTGAAAAAAAAAAAAAATTAAAAAAAAAAAAAATTAAAAAATGACTCCTATGAATAGAATTCCCCTGGCTGGGACCTCATCATAATATTGCATTTATTACAGTATTTCAGCATTTTTACAACAGTGTTATGGGGAGGTGGAACAGGTTTCTTCATCCCTACTTTACAAACAACTAAGGGTGAAGTGGTTTACCTAAGACCATATGGCTTGTTTTTACAAAACTCTGAGGAGAAGTCTTTTCTCTTCATGTTCCTTATAAAAGTCTATAATTACTTGGCTAGTGTGTTGAAGCCCCTTCTTCTACACCTGAGATTCAATATATGCCAAACTTTGTATAAACTAAAAATACATGTCATTTTACAAGAGCACTGGACAAATCAGTGTGGCTGGTCTCTCTCCTCATTCCAAGAGTGGGAACCTAGCCAGGTCCCTCTGTGGTAAAGGCTTCATATTTGCTCAGTATTGAAGCTACATTTTGAACAGGATGAGAATAAAGTTCTATTTAAGAACAAGTTTTATGTCCAGTTGTAATTATTAAAAGGTAGAAGATTGGAGGAGAGAACATATTCACCGTGTGGATTCTCCCTATTGCTGGTTTCTTTGCTCTGAATAACACAGCTAAAGATTTCTCAGCAGGGAAAAAAGAAGGCATTAAATATATAGACATGCCAAAATAGTATATTTACCATATGGTTCTACTATTTTGCTATAGAAACATTTGTTTGAAAAGAAAAAAAGGATCATTTGAAAACACCTGGATTTGTTTTTCTTGTCTCTTGTTCCGCTATTCCCAATATCTAGTATAGATTTTGACTAATAGCAAGTATTCAGTACCTTGCTGTGGGTATGAGTGAGTGATTGTGTGGATGAATAGAAGAAATGTCATTCAGGGCAGACACTTCTAGCTTTTGTGTTCCTCCCTAAAAAATGGACAGTTTTCTTTGTGAAATCTTTGCCTTTCATGATACTGACCTCAGAGGCTAGGAATGTCTCTGGAATTCCCTTTCTTGCCCTAAGATCTGTTATGAGTTTATTACTTATGAATTATTTAAACCCTTGTGGAGCATGTTTATATTTTTGAACCTGTGGTTTTTCTTAGAGTAATGAGTCCCATAAACATACTATCCCATTTGTAAGGCATTTAAGCCTTTATCTTTCCTAAAACACTGTATATTTTGAGTTTGGGCTGACATTTAATGACTGAACCAAAATAAAATGTCTTGTTTAGCTTTTCTTCTGCTGTATTTTAGATTTTCCCCCCTTAGATCCTTGTTGTTGTAATACCTCAAAATCTGGATGGGTTTGGCAAGATATACGACTATTCATCTTACTTTTTTCTCTCCGGGTACTTTATGTGTTTTACCAGTTAATGAGGAGCTTAATATAGAGTAGAAGTGTCCACCTTTATTTGCAGTATTAAAGCCCGTGATCACAAATCTATTTATCTATAAGGCATATGGATTTCTATTAAAAATAAGAATGAAGCATGTAGCCTATTAGCTATAGTGTTAGGCTTATTTTAGAATAAAATGTAAGCAGCCTGTTTAATAAGATTCTTAAATTTATTCTTACAGAAGAATGATATTTTCAGCTTGAAGCTAATCAGGGATCAATTTTAATCATTCATAAAAAATATTGGTACTTCACAGACTGACATTCTCAAGAATTATGGCACATCTCAATTACAGGTTAACATTCTTAATAGTACTCCCCAGTTGGCTTTCATTTTATAAATACATTTTTATTGAGCTGGTTTAACTCAAATACTACCTGTTGATAAAACGTATTTAAAAAACACTTTTTAATGTTTATTCATTTTTGAGAGAGAGAGAGAGAGAGTGCGAGCAGGGGAGAGGCAGAGAGAGAGGGAGACACAGAATCTGAAGCAGGCTCCAGGCTCTGAGCTGTCAGCACAGAGCCCATCACGGGGCTGGAACCCACAAACTGTGGGATCGTGACCTGAGCTGAAGTCAGACGCTTAACCAATTGAGCCACCCACGTACCCCAGCATTGATAAAATATTTTAAGATAGTTTTAGGGTTCATATGCTTAGCTTCAGAATTCTAAAATTGAACCACACTCAAAGAGCAGATACTTGATAATTCAGACACATTCTGATACTTTATCTTCCAAAGGCAGGTATGGAAAATTAAAATATCTTTTAAACTCATCAGCAATCTATGGATCCTGTCTGAAATTGTGATTTTCCATTCCATGAAATGTCTCTGCAGTTTTTAGAATTCTGTGGTTCTCGTGAGCTCCAAGCAGTCCAGCAGTAGCAAAGGAATGAGGTTCCATCTGCTCAGTCTACAAATCAAGTTTGGCTCTGACTTTATCTTTCCCATGTAGTTTCAATTGTCTGATCAGTTGACTTATTAATTCACTAAGAAATCTTAGTGAGCCACAGGGGTCTAACAAGTTGTGCTTTTGTGTCCGTAATTCCAAAACATCTTTGACTTGACAGTGCAACTCAGTAAGTCTCATTAGTCAGTTGGCATGACCTACCCTGCTGAATGCTTGATAATAAACAAAATAACAACAAAACATGAAAGTAGTTTTA